TGTTTGACATTTTTTTTTTCTAAGTCGACTAAACATGAGAAAATCATTTCAAATCCAAAGCAATTTAATGGGAAAAGAAAATGATTATTTTCTGTAAAATTATTCCGAATGATATTCATTGCTGATAAATTATACTCGAATTATATTAATACTTGCCATTTCTCTTTTCATTTTCTCCTTCTCCTTATTGCAATATTTTACTTTTCACTTTTTGTTCCATTTATTTTTCAGATAATCATGATAATGGAAGAAAATTGCAACTTCAGGGAATGAATTAGGAAAAGGCAGCAAAAATGAGTTTAGAAAATTTTTCCAACTCAAACTTGTTTGATCTTTCAACTTGAAGTTGCCATGAAAATGACTGATTGAATGGAAACAGAAAAGTCTAATTTGATAGAACAAGTAAAATTGTTTTTCTCTCTTCAGGATGTAATCATTATTTTTATACAATTTCACTCCCTGTTTACAAACACACTGAATCGATAAACAACTGGACTTAACATTCAATTTTATCTGTTCATGCAATTCGACGATGAAAATCGGGCAATCATTGGAGTTCATCTTTTGTTGAAAAGATTTAAAAATAGTTGCAAAGGTTGAACTCGAATGCTCAAAATCACCATTTTAAGGTTGCTTTTTATCATGTCATTATAATGATGTTGTATAAGCGACCTTTTGATTCAATGAAACATGATTTGCGGACGAAATTGTAAACCAATTTTGTGTTTTGTTTCATCAAGTCAAGAATATATTTAGTTGAGAAAAGAAGAAAAAGATTGGATAATTTTGATAATGTATGATTAGTTTAATTGTGGCTTCATTTCTAAATGATACTCAATCTCTTTTCATGTTGACATTTGATTTACAAGTCATTAAATTGTAATGATGTTTTGTATTAACAAGAAAAAAGAGCTTTTTCTTTTACTTCTCTAGTTTATTAACTTGGACATGAAGAGTAATGAATGAATGAAAATGTGAATTATTTCAATGATAAAACTGCTCTTGATGTGTATATCATGGTTCATAGATGACATGAGAAGGCAGTTAATTATTAGTTATCAATCCTTTCATTTCTTTTCCTTATAATTGAGATAAATTGTTTACCATTGAAATGAATTAACTTTTAACCATTTAAAAAAATTAACTTTTCATTTTTTAGTTTTGCATTTTTATTATGAAATTTGTTTTGACTGGAAATTTGCTCAACCAATTTATTGTAATCTTGTGTTAAGAGTTATTGTTTGGTTGAACATTTCAACTGAAAATTGATTGTAAAGGAAACTTTTGAAATCAATTTTCTTGTTTTCCTTCTAATTGTTCAAGTTTTAGCCTACAGATTAAATCAAATTATAACAGTTAATCAATCATGAATAATGAAGAAATCAGTAGAAGCAAATATCGCCAAAAGCAGTTGATAACTATCAGTTTATTTAGATAATTGCGCATTGATAAAATTAGGTGCGTCTTTTAATCGATTTGGTGTTCGCGATTTCCATCCAATGTGTTGTTTGTAGTCATAACTCACTAGCTTATGTAATTTGGTGAAGCTTAATTTCTTGCAATTCTTTCCAATTAATTCACCCTCAAATGGAGAATACTATCAACATTAATTCAAATTGTGAACAAAATGATCAATAAGTAATTGAATATTTAAGCACAAAACACATAAAATACGACAAAATGAAATAAGCTTAAATGATTTAAACACTAATCACAACTTACCCTTGAACGTTTTATCTCTTGCATCGCTACAAGAGAAAGCGCTTTTTAACATGAGTTTTATTAAATTGCAAAGACTTGCAATAGTTTGCATAATTTATTTTTATCATAATTTTTCATCTGAACGGAAAGCCTTCAATTAGAAAGAGAATGAATCCTAACTTGGACTTTGCCATCATAATGAAAACATTTAACTCTTTTAATCTTTTGTCACTTCACCTTATACTCAGTTGTATATCTTGGAATAGATTTTTGACTGTGAAATTGATTTAAAAAATTATTTGTCAGATGTTTGTATCAACTGAAAGTTGAACTAAAAGTCAAAACTAGAAAAGATGAAATTCAATGAAGCTTATTGAACAAACTTCTCAAACATATCGAAAAGATTGTGTAAACTTGGCTTGAGAACAGAATAGGTTAGACATGAAAATGGCATGAAACTTGAATTTTTGGAATGAATGTGAATGTTATTGTGAAGTTATTTTGTTGTGACAGAACTCGATATTGTTTTTGTTGCATCTGAACTTTTAATTTATTTTCCTGCTGATAGAAACTTTAACCTTATCGCGGTTCGAATCAAATGAGAAGCAAAATGAGTTGTTGGTAATAACAATGAAAACTTAATGAGCATCATGTTACACTTGATGAAGAAATAAATTTATAGATAGATTATTCCAATTACACAGAGAAAAAGCAAGTTTAATGAATTCATGTTTGTTTCTTGGTATTGGTAACAATTGAATAACAGATTGTCAAAGTATTCAGAGAAGCATCGAAAAAAAGAAACTACGAAATCGATGTTCATTTTCACATTTCAATCCTATAACATTTACCATCCAATAAAAAGCCATTGATTAATGATGAACAGCAAAAACAATCGAAAGAAAAATAGTTGCTCACAGATTAGAACAGATTAAGAGAGTAAAAAAGATCATTTCAAGCGTAAATTTCACTTTTTTTCATCATCATCAGATCATTCATCTCATTTATTAATTCATTAAAATTCCTGGAATTCAGATTATAACATGTAACGCAAATGTTTTGTCATTTTGTTGGAGCAAAAAAGTCGAGATAAATGATAAAGGTTAAATGAAAATGTAAAAAAGGCTCAACATGAACAAGAAACGTTTTCATTTACTCTTTGCCTCCACACTTAGGACAAAAATATTGATGAAAACAGGTTATTAATGATACAAAACTATTCAACAATTGAAAGTTGAAAGCAAAGTCTCGATGATTTGGATTACAGTTTAAATGAAATTAAAAAACTCGAAAGTTTAAAAATCTCTGAATGCCTCGAGTTGAGGATAAAGTGTTGAATGTATAATTAGCCAATTATGCTCATTATTGCCTGAATTGTGGTTATGCAAGCAAACCTTGGATTTTCAATGTTTCGTACGAACAAGGTTTTCGGTGAAATTTGTGAACATGATTGAACATTGCGATGTTTCAATTGTCGACTAATTAAAGTTAATGTTATCCAATTGTAATTCAATTTAGTTTTCAGACGAAAATCTCTTTTAATGAAGATAATTATTGTAGTTTTGTCAAGTGTAATAACGAGAAAAAAAGAGAAAAAGTTTCAAATGAAAAAGAAAATTATTAATTATCCAAAGCGAAGAAAACGGGAAAAGTGTTTCAAGTCATAATGTTCAATGACACAAAGAGTTACTTTTTCTGGTTCCTAATGTTGTTTAAACCTTTTGAATGTCAATTGATTATTGAGGTTTCAATATGTAAATGTTAATGAAAAGAAGAGGAAAAATGATCATTATTCAGCTCATGGAAATTAGTTGACTTGGAAAAAAAGGAATTTACAGATTTCCATTTTTTTCATCTTCATTTGTTCAGCTTAACGTTTCTCTACTTTACTGTGTATTTTGGGTCAACATAATCTTAACCATTAATAATCTTTATGAATCTTTAGACTCTGTTCATCTCGTGAGATTAATAAACTTTATTGACTCGAAAAATGGAAACAACTAAATTAAAGGAAACAATTAAGAAGTTGCCTTAAATGGTCCAACTGTAAATGAAGATTCTCGGTGAAAATTAAAGGTTGATTAACTTGGATAATGAGAGCTTTCAGGTTCACCAGTGGATACTCAAAGGTATCATTAACTGCATGAGAAGGTAAAACAAAAGAGAAAAGATAATTGTATAAACCTTTTTTTTGCCTTCAATGTCAATTGTTATTGTGTGTAAAATGGTTAAACAATATTGAATGTTTCATATCAAAGCTGCTTCAAACTGACCATTCAAAGGCAATTCAATTATTTAATGGTTAAACCTTTTCTTTTTACTTTTTTCCTTCTATTGTGCATAATCAACATAGACAAATGAAAATTTCATGGGAATCAAACAGTTAGTGAATTAGTGTGCAAACTTAATTCCTGCGTCAATTTAGATTAGTCGACCAATGATGAGAAAATGGTTTCTTTTGTTTGATCAAAATTCCAACTCATTTGTCTCAATTGTGATCGATCAACGAAAACAATAAAAATGATTAATGAAAAGTTCATCGCTCATTATGATTGGAAATTTTGATGTTAAAGTTTGAAAAATGTCCATTGGCTGGACAAGAGGTTCAATTTATTGCAAAATTATTGCATTTATTGATAAAAGTGCAATAAAATTGTCCATCAAGAGTTGAAATTGAACCTGTTTCTGATGGATAAGTTCAGTAGAAATGACTTTTTTCTGATTTAAAAAAAGATTAAAATGGTAAAGTTGAAAGTCGAATTTGATTCGATTCCTTTTGATATTATTTTGGACACTTTGATTGAACTTGGTTCCATGAGATTAATGTTCATTTTTTCAGGTGAAAAGCTATTTATTGAAGCTTAACTAACGAGTTTCATCTTTACGTAATTTTGCCAGTTAATTATTTTTGTCTTTAACGTGACAAGGTTCCTTCATTACAATTGATTTGTTATAAGGTTAAAGTGTTAACTAGTTTTCATCAGAATTTCATTCAGAAAAGTAATTTCATCAATTCAATTGGTTGAGATCTTAATGAAGGGTTAAGTTGCAATAGATGGATGAACATATTTTGTGTGAATCTGCGTTTAAATGAAATAACTTTGGACAAGAAACAAGTTCAAAGAAGTGTAAATAAGTGGGAAAAGATTGATTCTCATTCTTGATCAATAAACATTTTTGGCCAATTTTTCTGTGCAAAATTGTTTGTTTTCTTCTTGTTCATGGAAAAGTGGCCAACACAATATTTGCTCATTTGAACATGACGGCTAATGAAAAGAAATGGAAAATTTTTACTTTACCTTTCAAGACTTAGAGCCATTATGGTGAACACGGAAGCAGAAAGGGTTACATAGGCAATGAAAGTGTTAATTTTACAGAAAAAGTAGCCAAAGTACCATTGGCCCGAAAGCATAAAGATGAAGTTGAAAGTTATGTTAAGCATTGATGTAATTAAATCAGCAATGGACAAGTTGAGGATGAAAATGTTTGTCACTGTTCTCATCTTTCGATGTCCAGTTATAATCCAAATGATGCCCAGGTTGCCTAGGAGAGCCATCATTATCATAATCACGTAAACTACAATCCAAAGGAGTTTAACATTGAAAGAGATGAAGTAGGCTTTTGAGTTGTCATCTGGGCTGGTTGATGTGGTTGCTGGTTGAGCAGCGGTTGCCACTGCAGCTGAAACCACGGAAGAAGGTGAAGAGGGTAGAGAGGAGGAAAAGGACGACAGAGATGAGGGTATCGACGAGTATGCCTCTTGATGAATTAAAGCGGCAAGTGAAAGGTTGAAAACACTGGACATGTTTAGACACAATGGTGATGCACAGTCAGTGCAAGGCGATGATGAGTTGAGTAAACTTGGGCTACAACGTTGATAGGTTAGGTTAACTTCTGGTTGTTGTAGAGCCATTATTTACACGGTCAATTATGGGAATTATTAGTATCGAAGAATCAGTTTCAGAATGATATTTGATATGAGTATAATGATGATGATGATGAAGAGGTGAAGTGAAAAACGAAATGATATTTTCCTTATGATGCTAATCAAAAGAAGAAGAAGAACAAAAAAACAAGAAAACAAAGATGATTGTTAGATGATTAGAAAGGAAATAATGGTTTTCAAAGAGATTCACAGAGATAAACAATTGGAACATTGAACAGTGATGAGCTGATGATGAAAATAATGAACATGATGATCAGAATGATTGGCCATTGGATGTGAAAGGAAGAAGGTAGAGAGAAAAGAGAAAAGTTGATTGGAAATTTGCAGAACGAAAAAAAGGGGAAAAATATGTTCAGCGAAAGAAATGGTGAGAAAAATATTGTTCACAAAGAAAGTTGTTCGGTTTCAAGTTTGTCGTACTTTCTTCATGTCAAGTTTTCAACTGTTTAGTATCTTGAACAGAATAAAAGTTCTAGTTGTGTTTCATTCAATTCAGGATTGAGCCTGATTTTGCGCACTTTTCAACTAATAAATATCATCAATTTTGTTGCACAAGTGAAGAAGAAAACTTTTCTGTGAAAAAAAAGATATAATGAGACATGAAGTGAGAGGAAAAAAAGGTGAGAAGGAAAACAAAATGATTATTAAGAGTGAGAATTCAGTGATTTTGATGAATTATCAAAGGATAAAGAATGGTTAAACTCGACAAAATGAAGAGTGATGAACGCATAAACAGAGTTTAATCCAAATTTAAGCCATTGATTACAACCTTTTTGGTAGCTTTTTTAGTTCTCTAACCGATGCTTTTATTCCCTAGGCTTACATTGGGAAATTTCATGTACTTTTGAGGTTCTATCATATGAGACGATTCCACAGATTGGAATCGCGAACTTTTACTCATGCAAAATTGCAGAAGTGACAAATTAATTTTCACCATTCAATATCACTTAAACCTTTATTTCATTTTGAGAACGATTTTTAAAAAATGGAAGAATTACGAGTTCTGACCTCATTTTTTGGATCTTAGGTTCGAAGTTTTCTGTAAGGTTTTGAATCTTTCATTGTCCTTTTGTTAATTATAAACATTTTGTTCCAATTGCTTTTCTTTTATTCCATGCATTTTAAAACTCTGCTTTTTATCCTTATTTTTTGTCCTTTATTACTTTTGTTATTCACTTTGCATAAAGATTTTAGATGATAAATCCGTCGTTATAATTGGTTCATCAAGTTGAGCATTTGGTTTTGCTTTTCTGGTAAAAAAAGAACCAAAAATTGCACTTTTTTTCTTTATTCACCAGATAAAAATAGAAGTAATTCTGCATTTATTTTCTTTCATTTGAATGTTCACAATGAAACCCATTATCGTTGAATCAAAAACAATAAGCTGTTGCCTTAACTATTGTCTGATTTTGTTTGTACATTTAGCTTTAGTGAATTATCTCAAGGAACACAGGAGACGGAATTCTGGGGAAACTCTAGTCGAGAGATTTGTGAAAGTAAAAAGTTAAAGGTAAAAGGATAGTTAAACTGTTTGATGAAAATTATTTGATGGCTTAAAGAAAATTCTTTACAAAATCGCTGGTACCTTGGATTATGCAAAATGCTCGAGTTTTCACCGTTGACAGGTAAATGGAGAGGAAAAGCGGTTCAACCGAGAAATTAAAATAGAAAAACGACTTTTTTTGGGAAAACAAGTGCAAACAAATCAATTCCGAATGAAGGAAACCAAATCAAACAGATCTAATGGTTTTAAGAATGAGGTAAAAATATATTTGAGTGAATAAAAGTTTGCTTGCTTTTCAAGCCTTTTGCATTTATTTTAATAACCTGTTATCTGTTTAGCCTAGAGGTATCCATGCAAGTGAAAAATGTGCAAAATTTGTACAAAAATTGATGAAATTTCAGGAAAAATGATTCATTCGAAAGAAAGAAAATTATGAAATCTGAATAAGAATGACACTATTTTTGATTGATGATATTAGGATACATTTAGGCTGACAAACACTCTTTTCATCGCGATCAAAAACTTGCAATAGAGTTGATATCAAATATGAATATCAAATGAGATCAAATTGAATTAAAAAGCTCAATTTTTTTGGATTGATTTTGATTGAAAGGTGTTTAACAGGTTATTTTCACCCTGCTTATGACTTGTCATTGGAAAAAAAATCACGCCCAAATTGCCAATGCGATAAGAGCCACAGATTTGCATAAATGAGTGTCTGGTGAATCGAGCAATGCTAAATGACATTTCTCTATCATCCTAGAGATTATGACTGAACTCATCTAAGCCAGAATCCTGTAATTATACGTTAACGATGAGTAGTTTTTCCCTGATATTTTTTCACAGTAAAAGTATCGATACTTTGTCTGTCGATAATATTCGATATCTTATATTTAATTAGTACAATACTTTCAGTTGTTTTTAGAGACTCTCAGAATGACTCACTGCACAAACCCATGCTTCAATTGTACTCATTAAATACTCGATACCTTTGCGGTTGATACCGATTCTTTTTAACGATACATTTTTTAATATCGGGAAACACTAACGATGAGTACTTACTGTGACCATAGGTGGAGCTATGCTAATATTATACTAACCTTAGTTAGGAGTTCGGATGAAATATGCCTACAGAGCAACTTTAACTAGTAGAGGCAATGCTATGTGTTATTGTTCGATAGAAAAAATGTCAAAGTTTTGTGTTTGAAGATTTTTCAAATACAGGCTGATTTTTGGTAAATTGTCAAAGTCGAAAAAGTGGCACATGCTGACGCATACTGAGCCATTTTAGGCTTCTAAAAAGGTTCTGTCCACTGATCTCATGGATAACATTGGGCAATGAATTTTCTCAAGATATCAGCGTTCAAAGTCAGGAAGTCTTTCATAGAAAATAATGGGACTCACAAGTCAGTTCGAGAACTTACAAATGCTTCAACCAACAAAAGTGATAGGTTTAATCGATCAGTTATACGGACACAGGGAGGAGCGTTAACACAATTTGATCAAATCACAAAAAAGACAATCATTTGTTAATTTTAATTCATTACTTCATTACGCAGTATTTATGTTACCGGCTTTTGTTTCAAGCGTTAGTGGAGAGAAAGTATTCAGGTTTGGGTTGATGTTACATTAGACCCGCTATTTCCGACCATTAATTGAGCAGACATTTATTAATAAATATGTTAATCTGATTGTAATAAATGACCTGATTTTAAAAATTGATCATTAAATGATTCTCGATGCATCCATCGACTTATTTTTCCTCATTTTTCCTTATTTCTCTTATTGCCTCCTGGGTCAAATGGGTTACTCGCACATTTATCTTCTGATTGATTGCTGTTTTGTGTTGCATCTTTATTCATTAAAGCATTAATCATTGCTCAAATTTTATATCATAGACAATGCACTAAATAGCTGTGGCTAAATAATTTGCATATCATCATGAATTGCCCCAAAATTGACGAATAAATTAAGGAAGAAGAGAGAGAGAGAGAAAAAGTGGAGATTGATTTTCTTGGTTAGTGTTACCAAACATTTTTGTGCACAAAATATGTGAACAATCACATCAATTTATTGATCTCGTGTATTCCGATTAATATGTTTGTAGTTTAAACGTATCTTATTCCAACTGAGTCAAACTGTCTTTTACATGTTCAATTTCATGTTGCTACAATGAAAGATGATACATTGTAACAAGAAAAATCGATTGATTTACGATAAACAAGATGATGATAGTTTCTTGGCTCTACTGCTGTTTTTATTCACTCTACCTGTCTATCGCCATGCATTACTTGTTACACAGATTCCATGATGATGTTCTGTAAACAAGTTTCCAAATGAAAGATGAGGTAAATCTATTAACATTTTAGATGCAACAGAATAAATTTTATCTGTATCAATCATTGAAAATAGTAAAGATAAAATATGAGAAAAAGAAAAAATCAAATGGTTGCAAAGACGAAAGGAATTCATTGCTATTTACAAAAGCAAATTTAGTAATACCGAGGAATACCAATGTGCAACTATTTAGAAAACTTTTCACTAACATGTTGTCAATCATTTCAACTTTACTGTGAACATTGAAGAAGATGGTGAAAATAGTAATGGTGATGACCTAAGGGACCAAAGGAATGTGACTTTTATCACAAACCTAATAACTTCAATCTAGTTATTTTTCATCATGATGACTGCATTTACCATTTATTCTTGTTTTTTTCAGCTTGCGATCTTTTACTGTACAAGGAAACACAATAATAGTGCAATTGAAGGATGTACGGACTAAAATTGAAAAACTAAACTTTGGACAGATAAGTAAACTTTCACTTATTTTGATAAAAACAGCTCCATCTCTGGCCATCAATAAGAGATGATGTAGGCTCAGATGTTTTTTGATTGATGTAATGTTTTGTACTTATTAGATAACCAAGTATTTAATTAATTTTTTGCTATTAGCGATTGAATCTTGGTGAGAATATTTTCTGAATAACTATTAATAAACTAATAATTAAGACTAATTTTAAACAAGTAGTAAAGGGTGTTAAGTTTAATTTTGAGCCGTTATAACTAGATTGAAGTTATAAGGTTTGTGATAAAAGTCACATTTCATACATTCTTTTCATCTTTATCTTTGCCATCTCCATTATCAAGGTAAGATAACTGGTCAAAATTAAACTTAACACCCTTTAGGAAACCATACGCTTCTGATACTAGCAAACGGAAACTGGTCAGTTTCAGGCAGTGAATTAGTACTGCTTGTAATCAGAGGCATTCTTTTGACCATTTCCAACTTCTGAGTTAGTGCTAATTAGAGATGTGCTAATATATCAAAACAACCGATATATATCAATATTTTTTTCACAAGAAAATATCAATATGATTTACGATATGGTATCGATATAAAAACATTGAAAAAATGGTTAAAGTTGCACCTTTGGACATTAATGCGTCCAATTTTTTCATGAACAATCTTTCTTGAAAATATCTGTGTTTTACAGCTAAAAATGTTGAATCGATGGTTGAATTGATGGTTGAATTAAGGCTACGAATATGTGACAAAAGAAGCGGCAATCCAATTGTAGCCATAAATCTGGATAAACATCAAGATGTTGAGGGCGAAACTTACAAACAAGGTAACTACAAGGCTGTATAAGTAACAGCTTCATCATCACCAGGCTGACTGAAAGATATGCTACAAGAGTGAGCCAAATCCACGCAAAATTCAAGATAAACTCAGATCGACGATCAGGCAAATTAACTGAACGAACTGAATTAACTGAAATAAACGAACTGAACCGAACGCTTGAACAAACTATATGAAGTTTTGACCAAAAGATAAGGACTCTCAACAACCCTTTGGGAATTTTCTTTATCGAAATAGACGATTATTCACTAGACCAACACGGAAGCAATTTAGCTAGAAAAGATGAGCAACAACAGGCTGGGAATTAAAGTATGGTAAAACAGCACAAATGAGGAAACAATATCCTCGGACATCAAAAAACCAATCAAAAAAGGAAGCTGAAAGCTAGAAAAACAATAAGCGATAAATTCGGATTGAAACGAACTCAGGAAGGAAACTCACGAAAGGAAAAGAGTGAAATTAGTTAATCAAACGGAAAATACAAATGTATTGTCCATTTAATTATTAAGTTCTTACGCACAAAGTTTGAGTGACCAATTAGTTTTTTAGACCCTGTTCAATAATGGCTCAGCATATTGACACAATACTAGTTTATGAAAGTAACTTGACATAGCTTATTCGTACCATTCGCCTGGCAGTGTATTGAAAATACAGATTTTAACCCCTCCTTAATTATGAACCATTGACAAATTTACTGCCATTGTCTGGTATTTCAATGTAATAGACTTTTTGGTTAGACATTAATCTAGGTTACATTTCGATGTTGTGATCACCAAAAAATTATTCTACGTGAACTTATTAGCAGTATTGAATCATCAAAATGATGAATCCATACCAACTATTGATCAAGATCATGCAAATTTAGTCCATTCGGCAATCCAGGAACTAGTCCAATAAAGCATTCATTTCTGCGCTCATCTTTAGGAAATTGAAAGAGCAAACATTGCTAATTCGAAGAATGACCACAAGTTTTTCAATACAATAAGGCACTTAAAGGATTTAAATATTGTAAATAATTCAGCCAATTAATCAAATAGTTCAATATTTGCATAATTGATTTAATGTAAGAGCAAATGTCATAAGTTATATTCAAGCTTTAATCAAAATATAATAGTTACAGAAATTTAGCTCGCATGGAGAAAGTTTTAAAACTTTCATTTCATTCTAAAAAATACAATATTCTTAGGGAATTGTTGAAAGTCAAAAAATTGACAATTATGCCCTTAATCGCCAGTTTATGTTTAATTTCGTTAATATTTCATGAAAAAGTTAATTGAAAAACACAAATAATCTAAAAATCGAAACTTACTTGCTGTTATAGGCAAAAAGACAGAAAAACTGAATTAAAGTTTCATTTAAGAATTAACAAATTACCCAGAAAAGTGCATTAAAATTGTTTTTAAAGCAAAATGTAGTCAACTTTTTCATTGATTAAATCAGTTTCTATTGCAAGCGCCGTCTGAGAGTCAACATTTGAGTTTAATTTCACACCCTGCAAAATTATCATTAAGTGAAGTCTCTTGTTACTGTCATCTACCAGATTATGTCAGTAAATTTATGCTCGGTCCCTTAAAATCACTATTCTCCTTTTGTTTATGTTTTTCAACGTGTTTTTAGCTATGCCTCGGCGTAATCTCAGTATTCTTGAAAAAACCTCATTAATTGAGGACATCGAAAATTGATGATAAAGTGAAATTATTTATATTGAAATGCTTGGTGAAAGGAATCCCATTGGAAGCGACTTTCATCATTGAAAAGGCTGAAGTGATTGCTCATGAAATGTGTTACTTTAAATTACAGTGTTCGTGGCAATGGTTTAAACGTTTTAGAGAGCGAATTAAATTGAAAAAAGGAACTTTTTCTGGCGAAAGAATTTCAGTTGATAGTGAAGTTATTAAAGATTGGCGAGAAAACAAGATACCGATAATTATGCTGAATTGGCAAAAAGAGTTTGTTTTCAATTGCGGTGAAACTTCACTGTTTTGGCGTCAATCTCCATCAAAAACCAATTTATATCTAAATCAGATCATATTGGAGTTAAGATATTTCATGAAAGAATATCAATTCTTTTCTGTGTCAGCCAAGCTGGTCAATCACTTAAGCCCCTTATAATAGGTAAATGGGCAAAACCTCGTTGTTTTTATGAAAATTGTCTTGTAGATTTAGACCTACATACATGTATGTTTCACAGTCAAACGCCTGGATGAATCACAATTTATTTACTGATTGGTTGAAAAATTGGCATAACGAACTTGTTGGTCAAAACAAAAAAGTATTACTTTTACTAGACAATTTTAAGGGACATAAAATTAATACTGAAGATTTTCCAATGATAACTTTCAATTTCCTTCCACCATCCACTACTAGTCTTTTCAACTATTGGATGGTGGAGTAATTAGAGCTTTCAAAGCTAAATACTTAAATATCTTTGTTAAATATATTTTAAATGGATTCTGGTCGAATGAGTGATATTGTTAAAAATATTAATTTACTGAATTCCTTGAACTGGGTGGATGAATGTTGGAAAGCTATATCAGAGCAAACTATACGCAATTGTTGGTCCCATTTTGGCTATGTAAGCCTTGATTTAATGAAAATAATAATGTTTATGAAGAAGAGCTTGTTACTAATTTAAATGAATTTTCCCTAAATTTAAAGAATTGGTGTTCCTCCGAAGAGTTGATTGAACAAGTTTCATTTGATTACTTAGATTTTGAATGGACTATTCTTACATCATTTTCGTGTAAATAAGCGATTCCAGGTAGTGACATTATCTGGTAGATGACAGTATATTACTCTTTGGTAAAAATTAATCAATTTATTGCAATACAATTTGAATATTTTAGAGTTGTGTTTGATTCTCATCATCATCTTCTTGCTTCGACCATCCAAAATCATCTTTTGATTTATTCGCTTCTCTCGATTTTACTTTAGTGTAAACATAAGGACCAACGAAACCAGCAAAAAGGCCAACAAATAGGAATAACATGATAATACCAAAAACTCTTCCACCGCTGACTCCAGAAACTTTGCTGCCCTGAATATTAATGGAAAGTGCCTCTGCTTTTGATTTAACAGTTAATTCAAAATTATGACAAATGGATGAATCCAATGATTCCGTATTAGGATCTTTAATTGAATATGAAGTTATTTGACATTGAGCGGGTGCTTTTCCTTTAGGACAGAAGTTGAATGATTTACATGATTGATCATCATCACAAATAGCTGCACATTGATCCAAATCTAAATCAACTTCGGTGTATAAGACTTGACTTACAAGTTTCATTCCAGTTACTGTGTATTTTTGAGAGCTTTTCACTGCAAGAAAAAAAACGAAAGAAAAAGTTCAATAAAGTGTTCATAAATTTATATGATTCGTCGCCATTAGTACTTACGAACATAAATATCACAGAGTTCATCATATTCTGTATTTGTTGCGGTCGCATAACTATTAACAAATGAACACTTATCATTACTACAATATTGAAATGAAACACAATCTTTTGAAGTATGACATTCCGAAATACAGTCAGCCAATTTCATCTCCTTAACCGCTGTAGTTGTCTCCTTGAATTTCAAATCAGGGATTCCAGCATAGTCAGACCAATAGCTATTCGCATAAATCATACAATCTCGATCATATGTTCGATTTTTTTCTATCTGCGATCCCGTCCAAATCGATACAACGCATTCCTTCGTATCTTTTCGGTCGCAAAATGAAAAGGTCTCACAAGGTATATCTTCATTCTGAGTACAGGCACGATAACAATCACCGAAACGGTTGATCCCAGGAATTCGGACAGTATAAACACCATCTATTGTATCGAATTGATCGTCACGATATAAAAAGTGAAATGGTTCTGTTTGCTCTTCAACACCGTTTTGAGCAATGACATCCGTTACTTGAAAAGTAACAGCCTTGGCTGTAAAACAAAAGTAAATTCAATTGATCAGTTCAAATGCTATCTGTTCAAACTCAATCTTAATGATATCAATTATGAACGAAGATATTTACCTTTTTCATCAAGATTCATATTAAATGTTATGTGTCCAAAGTAATTAAGTATATGATCATGTAAATCTGATAAAGGCTTTTCTCGACCTAATCGATTCAGTTTTTTGTATGGATCGGTGTAGATACTACAATAAGATCTGTTGCTAGTTTTGCTTATATTCTTCGCGTTTGCAGTGCTAAAACAATGATCATCATCCTTACAATAGATTATAGCACTTTGAATATTGAATAAAATAAAAGAAATCAGAATTAAATGCTATCCAAAAGTAAACATTACTCAAAGTAGCACAACTTACGCTCCATAAGGAATGAATGATGAATGATATCGAAGGCACTCCTCAACATCATCAGTAACAGTTTCGTGTAATATGCTAATTGATTTCGGTTCTTCTGTGTAAAAATCATGTGGTAGAACATCTTTGATCCATGAAAATAAGAGAAAAATCAAAAGAATAAAAATTTTGAAAGGAATATTCTATTATAATCTATTATTTCAGAAACGATTGATTAATTTATTTACCAGAAATTTTTGGAGCTTCAGGAAAGTAACATCAGCTTCAATCACTTCTTTCTGGAATTTAAAGTCGATATCAGCAACTCGAATGAATGACATTTCTAATTGTCCAAGTAGACTTGATCGAAACAGTTCTCTCATTTCATAAACTGAATTTTGTGACTTTTTTATGCATCCATCAGAACCTAAATTATGCATCAATGAGGTTTGAGTAATTTAAGAATAACTTTGAACCAAAACATTACCTTTGCATGTTAAATGAAATTTTAAATTTAATCTTTCTTCTTGGTATTGGAAGCAATTAACTGATTGTAGAGCTTCTTGGTAAGTAGACTCAGGTAAATCACTATTTGAATCATAATAATCTCGATGACTTGAATATGATAAATAATATGAACCCTGCAATATTCAACAGTTAAGTATTATATTTTAAATAATAACTAAATCTAGTCTTACCTTTCCATCTTTTGAGTAAGCTTTTATTGAAGCTGCAACAAGACTGTAGCCATTGAAAATATCATTTTTGTACTGAAATAAAGGAAAGAAATATTAAGATATTTCATTGGAATGATGTCCAAAAGGAAAGTCAAATAAAACTTACAGATGAACTCAAATACTGTGTTGTCACCACTTTATCATATGTTATATCGTTTATAACTCGATTGGTCTCAGTGGATTCCCAAACATGAACCCTATAGCCTGATCTATGTTCCTGTAAATACAAAGTCGATATGAATCGTTCATTAGTCAGTTAATGAGTGATTGGTTAAACTTACAAATATTATCTCTCCAAGATATTTCAATGTCTTTGGTAGCCAGAGTAGTTTTGCTATCGAAAGTGAACCACTTTCATCAATACCAGTTGCACCATAAACAAACGGTAATGTAATACAGGATCCAACACTTGATATACGATAACCAGCACCAAGTGAATAATCGATGAGCACTTCCGATTGAAACTCATATGGTACATTGAAAATTTGTCTCAAAATTTGATGAGTTTCATCAGCATGAAACTGAATAAAAAATTTATTAATAATAACCGATTTTAAAGAGCAAGCAAATAATTCTAGTTACCTCACTTGTTATTGGATTATCATAATTTTCTTTTTCAGCAGCTATGAAATGAATTTTGAGCGTATTGAGTTCAGGGAAGGCAACATCTTCATTTAGGTATACTGGGCAACCGAATCCTGGTGTAACCTTGTTAGAAAAAAAATTAATATTAAATTTCTAATCAAAAAACTATCGAAACAAAAAACTTACCTGAACTAGTTTATCCAATTCTTGTTCAGTTTGCGATTGTAAATAAATGTCTAAGATGAGAGTCTCGCCTTCTCCTTCAGCTAAAGTATCAGGATTGTGACCAGTGAATACAATTTGACTTGGCTGTTGAATTCCGTTCATTTGGTTAAGATTATCTATTTTTTAATAAGATCAATTGACAGTAAATATTATCACTAATATAGCAGTCAAATTGAAAATTAGACTTACTTTGATAAAATAAAGTTATATTAAGTTTACGATCCAAATCGGTTGAGACGCTGTGCATAAGAGTACCTCGGATAATCTCATCGTTACCATTCGCCTATCAATTGCATTTTATTAAAATGTCTTGATTATTAAAAATAAATGTTTCTATTAATTACCCAATCAAAGCCACTAAAACGATCCAAGACCGATGGACCCAAAAGCAGGATAAGATTAGTTAAAAGTTTATTTACACCAGGCAATAAGTTGTCCCACTTTAGATCATAATTGTAAACATCACATTCATTGTCTAGAATATTGATATTATCATAAATGAAAACTCATTAGTTATCAATAAACTCAGATCACTATCAAGTAATTTAGGATTAATGCATGATTTCATCAAATGTTGAATTATGTTCTAGTTAATCAAAATTTACAAGCAAGCAAAACAATTTATGTATAAACAAGCAAGACTTACCATGAATAACGAGACGTTTATTGTTGTCCTTTGAGTTTGTGTACGAATAAAAGACATTGACTTCATTTTCATCTGAGTTTATTTCGATTCGTCCAGCCCTTGGACTTCCTGAGTAAACCGATTCTTGAATTTGCCAAACATGACCAGTGTCCTTAATTAAATAGTTAATAAATTGAGAATAATTTCAGCTAAAATTGAATTAAACTAACCTTGTCTGTTAAAGATGCATGAATAATCCTATTGATATTACTGTGGACTGTAGCTCTTGATCCCATTAAAGATGCTTCAAATTACAAATACAAGTTGATCATAATCAATAAACAATTAAAAAATATTTCAATTAATTCAATTTAATACTTACTGCAGTTGATAATTGAACAATTTAACAGCAGTAAAAGTATATAGCAGAACATCTTGAAAAGTATTTGATTTCTCATTGCCAGTGTCCAACACAACAATTAAATATCAAACAATTATTTTGATCCTTACTTTTTAAAGAATTGCTTTTCCCTCTCTGATTTAACACCTTTAATTATCAGCCATAAAAGTTAATTATCATAATACTCCAACAATCTCTTCAGACAATCTCATTGTTTTTCAATATCAATCATCGTTTAGTATTTAGAAGCTATCAGAACGATAAACGATTGACAAAAATGGAACTAACTTGTTTATTGATTTCACAAGATTAAGTTCAAATAAAGGCGTTATAATGCAGTTCTTGAACAAACTGAACATTCAGTGCAATAATTCTCTATATTTTTATCATTCATCATAAAGCTTTCAATTGTTACGATCTTTTGGTTCATTGTTCACATATTAACTTAATATCTCATAAATAATCATGTGCTTGGTGGCCTCGGTGCAAGGCAACATTAATTCTTAGAATTTGTCCATTGCATTGTAGTGATACATATGTATGTCATAAGAAATGGCAGTGTTTCAGAGCACAGTGATGAAACTGTGCTTACTGGTGATGAACAGCCGTTTTTAGTTATCTCCATTCCATTGCAATATTTCAGCTGGCTCTTACATTTGCTGATATTATCAGTAAAATGTCTTAAAAGTTGATCTTGAAATTACTTCTTCTCAGTTTCAAAGTGTAAATCTTGAGGTACTCAGGTAAATACACATTGATTGCCCTGAAGTGATTGCTGTCTAAACGCGATTGAACTCATTGGATTTTATTGCTTTCTTTTTTTCATTCAGACCTCTTTTTTAATTCTGTTTAATCTCTTTTTCACTTTGCTATTACTTTAATACCTTCTTTTGCCTTGAAAATCAATCAATCTCAAATTTCAAAAGAGAATGCATCAAAAATTGAAAAAATGAGAAAATTGTGAGCTTTTTGCTACAAGAAAACAAAACCAAAAAAAGTCAATAAAGTTTTACGTTTCATCAGTTGATATAATTGGTTGCCATTAGTACTTTCTAATATATTATCTACTAACTATCAAAAACCTCTTTTAAAATGGTGTGAACAATCTTCCAATAATGAATTCATTAACCCCTTGAAACAAATGTGCCCAGAAGTTGGAAGAATAAACAAAAGAGTAATCAACACAAAACAGCTACCAAGACCTAAAAGAGCATTGGTATCAGGGCTTTTGATTCTAGGGAGTTTGACTATTAGTTCACTATTTAGTGTAGGTTTGGGTGCCAAAACACTTTCAAAAGAAGTAAAACTTTCATTTATTGTCCTTCAAAAATGATTAAAATATTCTATTTCACGCACACCTGCCCAGAATACGTTTTTAGTATACCGTCCAATATAAGCTTTGAAATTGATGAGTATATGTACAGTCCGAATGAAATTAAATTAACAAGGGAAGGTTGTCGACCCTACCTGAGGGATTTAATGTGACATAGCGCAATCGATAGGGCAAACCTTCCATATTAACAGACTGAGTATCTTTTTTCTGTAAATTCAGTGGTTCCTTAGATTTTTGGGTTTAAAGTTGAGGCATTTTTGTTTTAATCAAAATTGATAATCTTTAATTTCAAGCAGATGCGGTTTATTGAAAGATTTCGTTGAATGTCTCAGCAGAGCGTTTCGCGAATCGTCGCATTTACTCAACTCTTTCTAGAGAGTTCTGCTGTTGTTTTACATTATAATTTACATCACAATTTTGTCATATTTCCTTACATATAAACATTTCGTTTTAAGGAAAATTTAGATGAAAGGGTGTTAGTAATAAGATGTCCTGAAGTCTGATATCTTTTGTATCCAGGGGCTTTGATGCTTACGGTCCTTTTGTGTCTTCGTTTGATTCCTGTTTTTGATTGCCTGTTGATTGATCAAGTTCCAACTTGCCCTCAACGATTGCCTGTAATGCACTCATGGCTTTGGTAAAATGACATGTTGAGGGTTAAAGTGGTGACTTGTTTTGTTGATTGTTTTGCAAATTGTTTGTGTTTTTTCTGCAACCTTGCAGCAATATCTGATTAACATGATGTTGCACTCATAAGCTATCCTTGTATTTTGATTGTTCACGATGTCTTCATTCCAACTTATTTGTTAATTTATGGTAGATTTGATTGATTATTTAGGGGGGTAGTTCGGTTCGGTCAATAGGAATAATGATCTGCTTCTTTGTCCATAAGTTCAGTTACTTTAAACATTGCTGAAACATTTTTTGCAGTATTAATCTCAATGATTTTCATTCTAATAAAGATCTACGTAATTTTAGTCAGTATTAGACATGGCTTTTTCAGTTTCTTGTTGAACTGTTGCACAAATTCTGGACATACAATGATGTTCGTGGGGAAGCGATTTTTCTTTACAATTGAAGCATTTGTAACTTAATGCTGTGCATTTAGTCGTGTCATGATCTGGGTCTCCACATTTTTTACATCTCAATCGATGTTTACATTCAGAGGCTTTATGACCATCCATTCTTAAGCATTTGGTACATTGAGGTAAGTTAAAAGTGTCCTCAATGTTGAACACTTGGTAACCTAATTTGATACATCCATTGTTTTTACTTATTTCGTCTCGAGCTCTTGTTGGTACAACCATGACCAAATTTTTCACGGTGTGCTTTCTTTTGTTAGTAGAGTTGAAAGCCTTCAACAATTTGAACTCAGGTTTTATTTCCTGGTCCATCCAATTGTTCATCTTGATTATTTCATCCAAAAGTTGATCATCTGTCATTTCTTTTTCAAAACGCTCCTTTAAATCAATATTCCGGACAATTATTCTTGGATTTCTTTTCCTCGGCTTTTCAATAGTAAGCTCGGGGGGATATTTTGTGATCTTATCACTCAGAGTTTGGACAGCTTTTTCACTTTCACCTACAACGATGGTGCTTGTTGGTTTGATGATCGTTCAGACAATCATGTCTGGGTGTTTTTTAAGTAGTCTTGTAAGTTTATCATAAACACTTTCTCCATTAATGAACTTACTGTCTTTATCTTTCTCCTTTACAAAAATGGTGTTTTCTTTTTTTCTTGTTTTGCTTTTTAATGGTCTAGAAGACGTTGTTGTCTGTTTAACCATTTCAGCGTAACTTTTCTTATTGGTAATTACGCTTATCTTTTCAATCTTGTTTTCCAATTTTTTAGTCAAATCTTCAACCATTTGATTAACATCTGGTTGCTTCTTTAACTTGGCCTTCGCATAGTTACATACGAATGACGCAACTTTGACCAGCATGGATTTAGAGTCAAGGACATAACTTCCCTCTTTACCAATTTCAACAATAGCTTCAGCTAAATTGAGTAAAAGAGCAACTGGTATGCAATCTTTAGCCTCCAACATACGATCCAACTGACTAGTTGTTTTAGCCTTCACCAACTTTATCATGTCTTCCATGTTGGAAGAGCTTGACCACACGTGGGTTATGGGTGAGTTGAAAGGTGCAATTTTTCAAATCACTTTTATCAAAATAATTTTGGACTAAATTATAACAATTTATATATTTTTAGATTCCTCGTGTTCTTATCTATTTAAATATTACAAAATAATTTATAATTAACTATTGTAAACGATATTAAATTCAAATTAAAGATAGAGCACAATTGCAGCATCTGACGGTGGCGCAAGGGTTAGGGAGCAGGCAAAGAATTATGTAATTTTCGGTTCAAATCTTGATGGAGGCAATTTTTATGAAATTTTTTTGATATTTTTTTACTATTAATTTTGATTTTTAAATATTTTAACGATTCCGGGGGTAATAATAAATCGAATTAATAGTAAAAAAAT